TGTGTGTAATATATATAAACTCAAATTTTAAATTTAATTCCCCTCCAGGCATTTTCATATCTATCAATTCATTCTGTCCTCATGTGAGAATCAGAGGGGAAATGGCATAAGCCCTATTATAGAAAAAGGAAGACTGGGACACAGTCCCAGGACAGAATGAGAGCCAGTGCAGAACTCAGGAGTCCTCCTCAGCCCGCACTCTTTCCTGCAAGCACATGGGCAGCCCCAACTTTAAATTCCCTTGCAGCTCCCAGCCCTAGACTCTAGCAGCCACATCAGTCTTTGTCCTGGATGATGGGAAAGATAGCCTCTCAATATTATTTCTTCATTATATAAATATAAAAATTCAGATCCTGTTTCTCTGACATTCAAATGATTTCCTAAGTATTTCTTAGACAACGTCTGAGTACTTTGGAAGACATTGACTTTCTAGGATACCAGAGGTGGTAAGGATTGTTCTTGTTAGAGCAGTTACTGTCCCGTGAGGACCCACACCAGACCACATTACAATGACCAGAGACAATCACTTTTCAGAAGTGCCTGGCTCACTCATTAGGGAGACATGGACATTAGGAGAGTGTGGCTCAATCATTTTTATCTAAAGGGAGTAAATTTTTCAAACCATTGGCCTCTTGGGCAAAATGGATTGACTCAGGACAGTGGAGTCAGTCAGCCAAAAAGTGGAATATACTCTGATTTGATGGTATTTACTTTTTCACACCTGTTAGCTGTGGGCCCTTATCTACCTCTCCATGCCAAGATTTTCCCCCACTTCAGGCACTCCTTTCTACCTCCCAATATATTTCAGATTAACAGAGGGAAATTGTTTTTTTTTGTAGTTTTTGTTTGTTTGTTTGTTTTGTTTTGGTGGTGCTGGGGATTGAACCCAGGGCCTTCCGCATGCAAAGCAAGAGCTCTACCACTGATCTGCATTCCCACCCTCAGATAGTTGTAAGAGACTGTGTTCACCCGGTGTTTGGAAATCAGGTACTGCCCCCTCTGGTCATCATTAGAATAGCACCATTTGGAGGATGCTGTCCTACATCCCTTCAGGAAGTTGCCATTTTGGTAGAAGCATGGGAGAAGGCTGGGACTGGGCTGTCACTGAGCTAAATGTTTGTGAGAAGATAGCAAGACAGGAAAACTGCTGGAGAGTCAGCCCACCAGAGCAACTGAGAGGACCACCATCCCCTAATTACTGTTGCAGTGTACAGTCAAGAGGCGTGAGCGTACAGCCATCATTCAGGTGCACTGGGTCCTTTCCCCAAATCTACTTCCAGAACATGAAATTTCATATTCCCTTTCCTGGGCAAGGCTTTTAAAAATAAATACGGAATAAAAACTAATAAATGGTGCCATGAACTTGTACATGATGTCTCCTCTGGAAGTGGCTTCCTCTCCCCTCTCCACACCATTTTTAGAGCTTGTTGGTTAATACTCAGGAATGAAAATGCCTTTTGCAGCACAGAAGAGCAAGGGCATGAGGAGAGCATCCCTTCTGACATCCTTGCTTCCTCTAACCCACACACACCTCCCAGGAAGCCCCCGCCCCCACAGCCGAAAGGCGCATTTGCACATGGGCCTGGAAATGGTGCCTTGTAGCCCGCTGCTCTAGTTGGCCCCTCCTCTGAGGGCGCACACACTGGAGAGTGTGTTGTCATTCTGCAAGCTTGCAAGGGCGTTTGAGGGAAACTCCTCTGAGTGCTTTGCTGGCCTCATGCCATGCTCAGAGGCAAAAACTAGCAGTGAACCAGCAAAAGGATCCACACTCGCTCGTGCCCTTGAAGGCCCAGCTGAGGGCCGAAGGGTGCTGAGACTACCCTGCGCTCTTTGTGTTTGGTTTGAAGCTCACTGCAGAGAGTAGGGAACCAAAGAAGCAAAGGTGCTTGGTGCACATGTTTTACTTTCTGAATCAGAGCCAAAGCCTACAAGTGCAATCCTTCTACCAGCAGGATCTGTCCTTTTTGGTAGGGACCTTACCTAAAGCAAACTCTGCTATGATTTTGAGAGGGAGTTGTAGCTTATGGACTTGGCTGACAAACATTTGAAAGGTAAGACTGTACCAAAGATGGCAGTCACCTCTTAAGGGGAAGAATATCCCCTGACCTTCGTTTCTATTTTTAGTAACTATTTTCTTGTTATTTTATTATTCAATTCCAAGCATCTCATATTAGTGGAAAGTTACTTCTTTGAATGGTCATCTCGGGGTGGGCTTGTGTATAATCAATTAAATTTGAGTTGAGATAAATAGCAAATAATTTCTTAGTATATGTATGTCCCATGCAATCTTTTGGATATGCATATATCAAAAAAGTATTCACTGTTTATCTGAAACTCAGATTTAACTCGGTGTCATTTATTTTATCTGGCAACCCTACATCTAGGAACAGAAATGGTCCCTTTTAAAAGCACCCCTTCGAGGGCTTGGGATGTAGCTCAGTGGTACAGCACCTATGTAGCATGCACAAGGTTCTGGATTCCATCCCCACACACCACAAAAAAATAATAAATCATAATAAAAGCACCCTTTCTGTCATTTCTCCCATTTTTTTGCACACCCTAAAGGAGCGGAGGGAGGTCTCCAGGGAAAGCACTGTATCAAAGATTGGCAGTCACCTGTTAAGGGGAAGAATAGCCCCTGACCTTGGTTTTTTTATTTTAGTGAATTATTTTCTTGTTACTTTATTATTCAATTCCAAGCACCTCATATTAGTGGAAAGTTACTTCTTTGAGTGATCATCTTGGGCACCCAAGATCATTCCCTGGGCTTTCTGCCTGCCACATACCCCAGCTGGTTTCTCTGGTTTGTCCTTGTTTTGTCCCATTTCCTTTATTTAATGAGGTTAATAAATAAGCTCTATAAAAACCCAGCTAGAGGAACCTTGCCTTCCCTTGTCTCTGCACTTTGCCCACCTGTTCTGCCCTGTCGTCAGGAGGCCTTGAAACTTGGTCTCAAAGGCCGTGGCTCCTATGGCCTGGATTCTCCTTCTATCATCTGTGTCAGGACAGGCTCCACTTGCCTGCCAGTGTAGGTTTTTGGCTGTTCTGGCACTTTTCACAGCCAGATGCTTCCTCTTCTCTGCTCTCCACCCATTAAAGAAAAAATTTCCCCTCCTTTGGAAATTTGCACATTGAATATTGGATCCTTCCCAGCCAACATGTAGACCTGAGTTAGTTAGATGACAGAAAATGCCCCTTGTCCCAAACTTTATTCTTTGAAAATAATTAGAAGAAAGAGCTGTTTTCCATTTGGAGTTGATGAATATGAAAGGTTCTCTCCTTCATTCCCAGTGGCCCCATTTAATTTTCTTCCACTTCTCCAATTTTCTCCCACCTGGCCATCATCCCTTAGCTACTAGAATATCAGAGAGAACAACAGTAAACTTATTTCCCTGACAACAAATTCTGGATCATCGTTTACTCACCTTATTCTACAACAGATTCTGTGATTTGATTTGACTTTTTTCCTTCCATTTTCATGGGTCCAAGACTGGAAAGTTTAGGTCCTTGGACCTGCTATAGGTTTCCATCCATTTGTGCCTGTCCTTTCCCAGAGGAAAGCTGCACTTGATGGTGCCAAGAAATAACAGTTCCACAGTGACCCCAGATGCCCTGTCTCAGCTGATTCTATCTGGCCTTCCCTGAGACCAGACCTTTCCCCAGCTAAGTCTCATCAGCCACTAGAAATCAGCATATCCTAGGAGCTTTAAGTGCTGCTGGCTCCTTGAGGCATTCCATGAGACAGGCGAAGATCAAAGAAATAACATGTAGCCCTTCAATTATTTTCTAACCCAGAGGGCCTTTAAAAAAAAAAAAAAAAAAAAAAGCTCTACCCTGGAGGCCTTTAGTGTACTTCCTCAGATGACTTAGAGGAAGAAGACCCCTTGTGACAAATAAAGAGCCAACTTGTGAAAATAAAATTTCACTGTGGCCCTTGAGAGGTCTCTAGACTGTTTGGAACTAGTTGGATATCAAAGCCACAATTGACAGAAGGTAACAGGACTTACTAGTTCTGAAAAATTACTTTCTGGAACGCAGGTTAACACCCTGGCCTGAGATGGGTCAAACCTAGCCCTCTGCCCGTTTCTTATAAATGTTTTATGGAACCACAGCTACACCGATTCACTTACGTTTACTCTGGGGCTGCTAACATGCTGCAGTGCTGCATTGAGTGGTTGCAATAAAGACCACGTGGCCCACAAAGCCTGAGGCACTGTCTGGCTCTTTGCAAAAGAAGTTTGCCAGCTTCTGCTCGGCCCTGGTTGCACATGAGAATCAGTTGGAGAGCGGTGGCCACCCAGTATTTTTCTTTAAGTCCTGATCTCTCTGTTTGTTTCTGCAAGTTAGAACCTAGACAACTGCAATTTTAGATGTTCCCCAGTTGATTCTGACGCACAGGGAGAATGGTTATCAACATTTATGGGCATGAGAAGGACAGAGAACAAAACCATAACAAAACGGCATCATATCCCCTCTCCTGTCCCTCCTTCCCACATGCCTGTGTGTGCTCATGCACATACATGTGCAACTGCTCATACACACCTTCTCCATGCCCTGCCCCACCCTGGGGGCTGGGGAGCTCCAGCTCTGGAATCCTTCCCCACCAGCAAGACCCAAGCTAATGAGAACTGAGGAACATCTGGGAGAGCTAATGTCAGCCTGTGGCCTGGAGCCGAAACCTGGCTTTGCTGGAATTGCTCCTTGAGTCATCGAGCCCTGCCAACTTCCAAGAGTGCTGGGAGTGTTCTCCAGAGCAGCTTGGAAGGTTCTTCCTGACCCCTCCTTCCTCCCTCCCACAAGGTACTCCTGCTCCAGAAGCGAGGTGCGGCCTACCCTCCCGCTTTCAGCTGTTGTAACTCCCAGGTAAATTTTTAATGTGGCACAAGGTGACCCCTCAAGAACTCTGCATCCTTGAAACTTAGAGCTTTCCTCTGAGTAGTTCTCATTTTTCTCCTGTGACCTTTACAACTTTCCCACTTCATGTTCTACTATCTGGCTGCCTTGTCAGGCTCTTCCCATGAGAGAGAACTAGGTGGCTTGCAAGGCAAAGGAAGAAGAGACATGAAATAGCTAGGACTTCCTGCAGGTTGAAGAAAATACTAAATAAACTCCTGTTTCCACACAGCACACCGTTCCGGAAGGCAAAGGCCTTGTACGCCTGCAAAGCTGAGCACGACTCGGAGCTGTCATTCACAGCAGGCACGGTCTTTGATAATGGTGAGTTTCTCATCCCCTTGCAAAAATAAGGGGGTCGGGGCAGGAGAAGCAAATAACTAACTGGCATTTTTCAAGTTCCTTTCTAGGGAAAAATCTCAATAGAATGGGTAAGACCAAAAGAGACTGAGTGAGTGTGTGTGTGCATGTCTGTGTATCTTTTTCCAAAATAAGAGAATGACAAGACTTCTAGAGACATTATCAAGAGTTAGAAAAATGTTATCAGCAACCCATTTAGTTGTTATGAACACGCGGCGATACTCAACCCAGGGCCTGGCATACCTGGCAGTTGCTTTAAGAATCTGAGGCCTAGACAGAGGGTAAGAGAGAAAGGAGTGGAGAACAGGGATGAGCTGTAGTTGGTCAGGTCAGGGTGACCAGTTGGGACCACCTTCTCTGTGCCCTTTTCTTCTTGGGTTTGGGATCCACCCTCCCAGCAGGTAAGGGACATTTCCCAGATGGCAGGGCACTTGGCAAGCTCTGGGGCACTGAGTACGCTGGGTTCGTGTTCATCACTGTTCATTTCTAGGAGCATAGGGTGAGCTGCCCCACTGTTACGTCCCCCTCAGACCACCCGCTGTCCTGTTTCACTTTCTGGTGTGAGAATAGCATCACAACTCATCACAAAACTGGGACCTTGTATTTGCTTAATGCATAGCTTTTTGTGTGTCTTTTTGTTTTCCTCTTTAAAATATATTTTTGAATGAAAACTGGTGTGATGATGGCCATAACTTATCTTTAACCTACGAGGAAAATCTGTATCCTGTTGATACTCGCAAATTTCTTCGGCAGCTGATTTCTTCCCCAGGTGAAGTTCTCCTCTGAGATTAGGCCTCCTGGATCCATGGGGAAGAGGGCGTAGTCTGTTTTCTTCATAGTAGGGAGCAAAGCCAGCTGCCAGGTTGCAGAAACTGGCTTTTTCTCTGGCTACTTCCCTGGCCTCAGGTGCAGAGACAAAGGCCTAGCAGTGTGCGAGTGTGTACCGCTCAAGCCCTCTCCACCCTGGCTGTAGCCCTGCCGGCTCTGGACCCCACCCCTCCCGCCTGACAGAGGCAGCAGCACAGGCAGCCGGCATGCCTGCCTATCACCTGAGAGCCTGGACTCTAGAACCAGGCCAAGGTACAGTCCCAGCTCGACCATTTGTTCTTCTATGACCTCAAGCAGTGCCCTAGTTCTCTCCTCTGTCATGAAAACATAACTCTGCCAACCTCAGAGGGTGTCATGGAGAGACATTGAGAACAGTACTGAACACATATTAAGGATTTAACATGTTATAATTGCTAGGATCATCATCATGATGTCCATGTTAAGAAAAGACCCAACACTCTCATAGTTCCTAGGGACAGTGTTTCCTTTTTGGCTGATGTGGCTCAGACCTGACTTCTAACTGAGCAGTAGGTGCTGCACTTCAACTCCTTGGGTCCTGGCGGTCTGGAAGGGGCTTACATCCCAAGCCGGAGCAGAGTGGACTCCAGGGGACCAGCCTTTACTTGATCCACATTCAGAAGGGCTCATGATAGTGACGTCATTAATCAGCTGTGGCAGCATGGGAAACGGCACAGAGGACAGGGGGATTCCCAAGGGACCCTCCACTCTAGGCCTGCAGGAGTTGGCGTGAGCTGAGAACTGCATGTGGCCTGCTGAGCCCGTGTCCCTTTTACACCTTTCCGAGCTTTCAAAGCACTGTCCTGGAACTTTTCCCCCATCACTTTCCACTTGGGTACGTTACAAGTCAGCGGAGAACAGGCAGCCCAGCCACTCTCCTGTCAGCAGCTGCTGCTCTCAGGCCCTGGCAGGCTGGCAGGTGCAGTGGGTCTGCTGAAAGCTGTCTGAAATCATGTCACTGGTGAGGCGAGTGTCCCCTGCATAGAGTTAGGTGGGGGGGTCCTGCCCAGCCGTGACACAATGCAGCTTTCCTGGCAGGCAAAGCAGAACGAACTGTGTAGTTCGGGCTTGTGTCCTGCTGTCGGCAGAGGAGGGGCTTCTGCCCATGGATGAGCAGGGTATGAGAGAGCCTCACATCTCCAGGTCAATTCAGGGCTTACGGCTCTGTCCTCTGAGTTCCAACTTGCTGCTCATGGGGGCAAGGGACCGCCGTGTTCCTATCAGCTGTGTACCCTGGCCACACGGAAGACCCCTGGTGGGGCCGGTTTAAACTATCAAAAGGTACGCCTGGCTGTGCTTGGGTGTCTTCTTTGTTACTCCTTTTATTCAGTGCAGCCTTCTTCTGTTTTAATGGCTTGAGAGAGCCACATGCCGTACAGATTACCCATTTAAAATGTACAACTCAATGGGTTTTAGTAGAGAACAGGGTGGAGAACAGAGTTGCAACCATCATCAGAGTTGTACAACCATCATCAGTATCTCCTTCCAGGATATTTTTCCCTGCCTTCATACACACGCACACAGACCAGCCTCGCACCCTTTCACAGTCAGGCCCCCTTCGCCACTAGCCCTCTTGCCGCTCATCTGCTCTCTGTCTCTAGATTTGCCTGCTCTAGACATTTCAAATAGAATTATAAACATGTAGTCTTTACAACTGGCTTTTTTCCCTTTGTATAATGTTTTTAAGGTCGATTCATATGGAACTTAATGCCTTTTTATGGCTGAATAATACTCCCTTGTGTGGATGTACAATTTATTTGAACGTTTGCCACTTGGTGGGTATCTTGATTATTCCCACTTTTTGACTGTTACGAATAATACCACTGTGCGTGTTGGTGCACAAGCTTTTTGACACCGTATATTTTCAGTAGTCTCGAGGACACACCTAGGAGCGGGATTCCTGGGCCGTACAGCAGCTCTGAGTTTGTTCGAGGAAATGCCACATAGTTTTATGAAGGGGTCGCACCATTTTACATTCCCACCCTCTACAATTTCTATGTTTCCTTTTTTAAGTAGTTTACATAGTTAAAAAAAAGGAAAGAAAAGATACCTAGATGATTTTTAACTACCAAATCATTTCCTCCCCTGCAGAGCACAGTACCTAGTAGAGTCTAAGCTCACTTCCACCCTACAGCTTGGTCACCATCACAAATCCTGTCATGGTAAATGAGAGCGGGAGAGAGGTTTGGCTGAATGAATGAGAGCCCTCGCTGTGATTCCTGGGAGTTGTGGCAGAGTTCACTGACACGGTTGGTTTTGCTTCAGCCGTGCTAGTGACATTTCAGGTGCCCCGCAGAGCAGGGCCAACTTCAACCCAGAAGGAAGCACCACTTGATGTTGACTGAGCTGCAGTCAAAGAAGGATCTGGCAATGTTAATCCACTTTCTAGATTAGTGTAAGGGATATTTTATGAGATCCTATTTTAAAGGAAAAGGCTACACATATCCTATTCCTACCTCTCTTCTCATCTGGAGGAGAAAAAAATTACTGCCACGTTAGGTAAGGAGTCTTTTTCCTTGTATGTCTCACCAGTTTAGTGCTAGATACGCTAGGTAAGGGCTGTTTGACATAGATGCTCTGTCATCAGACCAATCAGAAGACCATTTGTGAATGACGGGTTTAGATCGCACATGCGCACATTTGTGTATATTGTGTGTTGTGTTTTGTGTATTTTGGTTTTTTAGGAATAGAGAGAAGGAAGAGGTAGGAAAGAGCACATGAAGCTGAAAGCCTGTTGTCTCATAAGGATTAGTCTCACAGCTTTGGATCCCAGAGGCCTGCACTGTGACTCTGGAGCAGCTGCTTAGTCAGCTCTTGGACTTTGTGCCGTGGGGGATGGATGTGTAATACTCAGAAATAACTCTAGTGTCGGCCCTTGCCAATCTACTAGGAAACTGTTCGCCTTACCAAGAGAACCTCACAGAGTAACCGGAAAGAGAAATAACTCGTGTTCTCAGAGGCATTAGTCATCTGGAAGTAACGTGATTAGCTGTACCTGGAAAACGCATGTGGCAGTCACTAAAATTGAGTTCTTGGGATCCATTTTTCTACATGTGAGATGAGCTGGACGCTTTCATTACTGTGTGCAAGGCAGCACCAGTGCCGAGGGGGCTGTCCCACGGTCTCAGCTGATAGGAAGCAGCCTCACCAGGGAGCCCTGAGCTGCTCAGGAGTGGGTGTTGGGAGAGCTCCTGAGGGGGGTCTCAACCTCCTCACTGTCTCCACTGCCACACCCGCACCCAAGCCACCTCCACCTCCCACAGGGCAGTTCCGCCGCTGCCCCGCAGTTCTCGTCACCTCCACGCTTATCCCCTCTGTCCGTTCGCTACACAGTGAAAGATAGAGATCACACTGTATTGTTTCCCTGTTCACCATACTTGGGTGGCCTTCCCTTGCTCTGAGAGTTATCTGCAAGGCCCAACTCCTGCCCCCTGGCTTCCTCTCCCCCTCACTTGACATACTACAGCCTCACAGGTCATCTTTATGTTCTGAAATAGGGCTAGAAAACTTTAACCTGCCAGGGAAATCCATCTTGCCATCCATTTTTGTAGAAACATTTTATTGGAATGCAGCCACCTGTGCCTTTTTGTGTACAAGTTATCTGTGGCACTCCAATGGTAGAGTTGCACAGAGAGGCACATTGACTATTGGGCCCTGGACAGAAAACTTGCAGGCCATGATTCCAAAATCATACCAAGCTTTTCCACATCGTAAGGCCTTCGCATTTGCATTACCCACATCCTGCTCGCCCTTTTGGATTATTTAGGTTTTAGCTTTTTGATCTCCTCCCTCCCTACTCAGATTCTTAATCCCAGTCAGAGTCAGTGTCTGTCTGTCTGTCTGTGCCCCCCCAGTCAGTACTTCAAACCACGTGCTTGTTTATTGGTTGTCCCTCCCCAAGAGCAAAATCTTGCCTCTTTGTTCTGTGTTATATACAACAACCTAGCATAGTGTCTGGTGCAGGGTGGGAGCTCACTAGACATTTCTTAAAGGAGTAGACACATTTTAACTACATAGATGTCTGAAGCTCTTACAGTTAGGGCTTCTTCCCCTGGGGACAGTCAACCATTAAAGATCTCAGTCACACACTTGCTTCTTACCCTTAGTGGGCCAAGGAGGGGAGAAAGCCACGAGTTACATACACAGGGATGGGTGGTATATCCAAGGATACAGCTGAGAGGAGGTGGCTGGCAGGAAGCACAGCCATGCCAGCAGCAGTTTATGTTTATTATATGCTTGCTGGGCTGGAAAGCCACCCAGGCAGCTTGCTACAACAGCTTGTGTCTTTAGATAGATGCTGGTACAGTTCATTGGCCATTGGCACAGTGGAGCCCTCCAAGCACTTACTGAGTGTCTTCAGTGCTCAGAGCACTGGACCAGGTGAAGCTATAGAGGTTAGTGCCCCAGACTCTGAGGTGAGATGTCCTGGGCTTTGATGGACCTCCAGGCTCCACCAGCTGTGTAACTTAAGGCAAGACACTTAACCTTTCTGAGCCTCAGGTTGTGGTAAAATGAGATGGTATCACTGCCTTCGTAGTCAGTCCGAAGATGGGAGAAGGTATGCAGGCGGAGCACTTATTAGCAGAGGACCTGTCGATGAGCATGTGTACCACACATATATTATGATTCTTTCCCTCAAGGAGCATGTTTTCTGGTTGAGTTGGGCTGGATAAAGTGGGAAAGAGAGGGTTGGGTTTCTTAAGTCAGACAAGTGAGGTTCAAATTCTGGTTTGACCAGGATGACCATGTACCAATTAATTTACCTCTCTGAGCCTTGCTTTCTCCTCTATAAAATAGGAATGATAGCAGTACAAGCTAGGATTGTGAGGATCAAATGAATCAGTATATCTAAAACGCTGAGCACATGGCAGCTTGCAGTCAGCATTTCTGAGTGTTGGGTTTTATTGCTATAATTCCCAAGGTAGAGGGGAACTAGTAAAGGCTGTCAAGCCAGAGAGTACTGAAACACCAACCAAAATGCACTGAAAAACTAGATAGAATAGGACCCAGCAATACTATGTGGGATGTGCTGTGAGCCTTCTAGGAGTTGGGAGGAAGAAAGGAGCAGGCAGAAGTAATTCCATGATGCTATTTCTGAACAAAGTGGGGCTTCAGCTAAGCCCAAGTCTGAGGACAGGAAATGGCAGAGAACAGGGAGAAGGGGGGCATTTGGGGCTGCCTCACTCCTCCAGAAGGTAGTGAGAACTTACGTTTTAATTTTTATTATCTCCTTCATTATCAAGGCATTTGGGCCCAGGAAAGCCATTGCTCTTACTATGAACCAGTTAAAAATACAAGTTCCTGTGCCCTGCTACCCAGGATTTGGCTTTAATTGATTCGCACGTGACTTAGGAGCCTGCAGTTTTAATAAGCATGCAAGTGATGGTGTTGCATGTGGTCTGGCATGACACTGAAATAAATCCTGGTTGGAAGACTCCAGTGAGTCATCAGACTGACCCGCAGGCTGCTTCATCCCCTGCCATCCCATGTGACACCCCTCTTGGCTTCCAGTTTTAGGGCCTCTCTTGTCCCCTTGGATTCTTCCCTTAGTCTGCAAATTCCATTTCTGATGTTTGTATGTTACCAGCTCGGTACCTGTGCCTCGGAACTGTGGCCAGGAAGAGAGAAATGACAGAAGGCAGCGGACTTGGTGCATCTACAAAGCAACCACTCAGCGATAGGCTTTGCTGTCCAGTGGGGGAGGTCTTCCTTGCTGTTTATTTTGTGCAGTTGGTTGGTTGGTTCTTTTCTAGGTCATTTGTTTTGATCAATGGGTTTGATTTGTTCATTTTGGTTCTAAGTTTCAGTGGATGTGGAGACCAGATCTTCACCCAGGTTGTGCTAGGATGGAGTGTGGTGAACAAGTCCATGTGACTGGTCAGATAATGGCAAGCCCCCAGTGACTGACCCACATTTAGCCTTCACAGTGTGCCTGGTTTTGTGCAGAATGCTTTATCCATGTTGGCTCCTTTAATCCTCTCAAGAACCCACTGAAGGGGAGAGATTTTATTGTCATCACTGTATAGGCCTAGAAACAGAAGTGGTCTCGGCAACTTCCACTGGGTGGACAGGCAGAGGGCAGGGACGTTTGGGTGTTATTCAGGGGCAGTCCAGGAGGACTTCTGTAGCAGGAGAAGCCAGGTTGGAGTTGTGTGTGTCCTTCCAGACATAGCACTCCTCTCTACACTCTTGTGCAGGTGGCCATGGATCCATAGTACCCTTGCTACTTTGACTTTAGTATTGAACAAGTGACAGGAAATGGTGCAAGATTTTAGAGGCCAACTAATAGCTGTTTGACCTTGCCTTTTTCTAAAGAAGCATTTGAGGTCTGTACAGGTTTGGCATTGATCTTCTGTAAGCCTCAGTGCTTGCCCTTTGGCTCCCTACCCTGTAGTTCCTTTGGTTTCTGTTCTTTCTTTTTCTTTTTTTTTCTGCTACCGGGAATTGAACTCATGACCTTGCGCTTGCCAGGCAGGCGCTGTGCCGCTGAGCTAAATCCACAGCTCCTTGGTTTCTGTTCTTTCCCTACAAGCCAAAACTACAGTTACTTAGTAGTGTTGGGACAGAAAAGCTTTTCTAAAACAAGCTTGGGAAGTCACTTAATTAGCACAGGACGGGAACAGGGTAAATTCATTCACTCCAAACAATCTTGGATAATTGGAGTTTTCCTAATACATTAAGAGTATATGCCTTGCCACACCCCAGAGTGATTTGTGTATCTCCAATTCGCAAGCACAAGTAATCCCCCACCTCCTAGTTCCACCATTCCTTCTCTTCCTGCCTGCTATTGACTACTTTGCAGACTCAGCTGGGTTTTTCTATAATCTTTATAATATCACAGTGGTTGCCATGGAGATGGATGGTGATGTTGCAGAAATGGATCTATATTCTTTGGATACTGAAAAATCAAAGGGACAGTGGCTTTGAAAATTGCAGTAGAAAGAGTGAGAGGACAACTCTCAGATGTTACACAGAACGGGGGAAATACTAAAGTACTAGAGGAAAATAAGAAAGTGCCTGAGTGGAGCAAAAGGAGAGCATTTGAAAGCTATAAAATGAAAAACAGAAAGCACAGAAGGACTTTGCAAAGAAATTAGAAGTGGAGGGTAAGGATTTGAAGGAAAGGAAAATGCTAATTAAAAGCTAGATATCCATAAGGGCTACTTCTCAGCAGTCTTCCCCAGGCACTCCCCTGGGCTCATAGCTGATACTAAGTAGGGATGTGGATATCTGTGTGGATGGATGGATGGATGGATGGATGGATGGATAGATAGGTAGATGGATGGGTGGATGGGTGATACATACAGATGGAGGTTAGAGGTCAGCCTAAAAAGTATAAGCATGTCATTTATAGTTTAAACCAGGAACTTCAAACAGTCTATGAAACTGCTAAAATTGAATGCAAAGTTTTGAATGTCTATGTCTGTCTTCCTTTTTGCTGTGGAGAAACATCAGACCAGCCCTCATCGAAAGGTTGATATGCCACAAAAGATTGAGAGTCTCTGGTTTAAACAAACCCTAGAAGTGATCGCATTCATTCCCCAGACTTCCTTCTTACACAGACACACCCCACAACCCGCAACCTCCTGTTGTGTCTGTATCATTGCCTCTTCTCTCTCTCTCTCCCTTTCCTGTACAGTTCATCCATCCCAGGAGCCTGGCTGGTTGGAGGGGACTCTGAATGGAAAGACTGGCCTCATCCCTGAGAACTACGTGGAGTTTGTCTAACCATGGGCCCCAGCAGAACTGCTGCGCTTTACATGGTATCCATGACAACTGCTGATTCCAGTGTTGTAGCTATTTCTCGTTGCCGCTGAGAAGTGCGAGGAAACTGACTCTTGCTCCCTGTCATCGTGAATGTTTCTGGGAACTCACGTCACCCATCTCCATGATCATCTCAGCTGATGTGTGGCAATACTGCAAGCAGAGGTCAATCAGGAGAGGAGGCTGTTCGATTTTGATAATCTAGAGATTATCACGTTTGCAAAGCTTCCTTAGGAGTATCCTAAATGGGGCATGCTGACTCCCAACCTTCTGAAAAAGAAAGTAAGATAGAAGTTGTCTCCAGGAGCACACACTGTAGCTAAGTTTGACGGGGCAGGGCAGAGAAACTGCAGCGAGGTCCAGATTGGCTCCATTGCTTTTGTTTACAGCGGATGCACTTTCTGTGTCTGCTCCTGCTACTGGAGGCCCACTCTGCAGCAGGCAGCTGGGTCTGTCTGTGTACAGGCAGGACGGAGAAGGGTTATGGCCCTGCTTATATAAGATCCAACTTCTCACCATCTCTGAAGCAGCCTTTGGCCCATCATCAACAAAATTCAGGCCAGCTTTTTCATGCAAAGGAGCAAACACACCCCACATCCTCCCCTCCTGAGCCAGGAACTTCTCTGCCACTGAGGGCTGCTGTTGCCTAGTAACTGTGGCAATTGCACTTACTCTAAAACCAAACCAAACACTTCCCCTACCCCTGCCCTTCTTGGTAGTTTTGTGAATGGTCTAACTGCCTAAAACAGAGGATCTTCCAACTGCCTAAAACAGAGGGTCAAGGTATTAGGGTGGGCTACTTGGGGGAGACAGAAGTGTTCACTTTCTGAATTTCAGCAGCACCAGGATATATTTAGAGCAAACTCTAGTAATGCTTTGAGATTAAATTACATACAGGCTTAATATTTCTGTTGTCCACGCAATTGGTGTTTGCTTTCTAGGGGGGGCCAGATGCCACCTCCCGATGGGTGACACCATCTGACGGGTTCTCTCACGTCTTCCCATTCACTCATCCCCCTGCCCGTCAGTGACCAGCCCTGTGCAGTGCTTTGGGCTTGCCCTCTGACTTTCAGGGATGACTCTGCGGGGTTTCCCTGTGGTCTGTAGTTTAAAAGGATGTCTGCATTCACTGCCACCCAGAAAAAGGGAATTTTAGGCTTTTGAGGCCTGAGGGCTCTGTGACTCAGGAAGACGGCCAAAGGTTGGGGCAGGGAGGCTGGGATAATACCTTCTAAGATAGGGAATTTCCTCCTCAAAGTGGGGTGAGTCTTATGGAAAACTGCCTCTTATGGAGATGTTCCCCCGGGACACTTCAAACTTACTTGGCCTCCAAAGAACAGAGCAACCATATCTCCCACACATGAATGTCCTTGCAAGAGGGACTCTGGACAGACAAACTATAAACTGCCAAGCTCCCAGGAGCCCAGTAGATAACAACATCACTCCAGAGAGCATTTCCTGTTTCTGGAATTCCATTAGAGACCTTTCATGAAGAAGAGGAAAAGGAAAAACTTGAATTGTGTTGAATTACTGTATCTTTTACTTTTCTCGTAAGATAAACTTGTAAATAGAGTAATTTGAAATACTATATGGCAAAGTTTTATATTTGATATTCTTTAAGCTAGTTGCTGTGCGCATTTAGGCTTGATTGCTGAATAAGTGTGTTTAGAGGGGGAGAAGACCAGGCTGAAGCGTCAAGGTGGTGGTCCCCTGTCTGGGCTGGTGGAGGAGAGGGTTCCTGTGTGTTCGCCCTCGTGGATGGTGTTCAGCCTTCTCCAGCTGCATGTTATGAAGAATTCCTCCAGCTTTCAATTGAGAGATACAAAGAATATCTTCAGGCAATGAGTGTTACAAAAAAGAATGCTTAGTAGTAAGATGAAGCTCAGGATTTAAATAGGTGGGGCCAGACGTGACTTTTTTTTTTTTTTTTTTTAGTTTTTTTCTTCTCAGGTGTATTTCTTGGTACCCCAAGATATCAGGACAGAAGGGAACGGGACTATTGCTGTACTCCTTACTTCTCTCCATATCCTCTGAGGCGTTACAAATGAGGCCAGCCCAGTTTGCAAATTTTGTGTGTGTGTCTATAAGTTCCCAAATGAAAAAGCCAGGCTTAAGATCTTCAGTTCTTGATGTGCTGTGCTATGCTGCTTCCCCTTCAGCAGATGTGTTCCTGCTCTTACCTTTCAGCTCCAGATTCCCTCAGACCCCAAAGTAAGAAAAAGACCCCAAAGTGGATATAGATTGTGCCATTACAGTTTTAAAGATGGCTTTGAAGGAGTTGTTATTGTGATTCACTATTCAGTTATCATTTCAAAGATTATAAAGTACCTTTATCCAAGACCTCACCCAGGAGCCAGCAAGGCACTACTGTGGAATCAGGGAACAAGGATTAAGTGTAGAAACAGTCACGGCGGGACTCAAGAATGCTATCATGGAAAACCCAAGGAAGAAAAAAGAGTGCGCTCATCGGGGCCAGACTTAATCCCCTGGGACTTGGGAATGAGAACAAAGTGGGAAACGGGGCTGCGAGGGACGCGTGCTCATACATCGTGGTGTTTTCCAAATTGGAGGAGCCCGGCAGAATGCTTTTGATACGTTTGACATTTTAAAGTATCACCTGCCCGTCATCACTGCGGCTCACACGGAGAGGCAGAAGGCCAAGGCTCTTGCTTAGGGAATGCCCTGGCGCTCTTGGAGACACTGGCTCCCGGCTTGTCTGTCTGGAAGCAGGTGCCTCCCTCCTGAGTTGACCCTGGCTGGGAGCTGCTACCAAGGAGATCTTATAGGAAAACCTCTTCCCTGCCTCACTAAGGCCATGCCCGGCCTATGGCAGATGGCTGCTATGTCCCTTTGTCCCTCCGGGCTTTCCTCTGTTCTGTTAGCTGGAGAAACTGCTCAGAATGTGAGCCACTGACTCAGAAGGGACTTGAAGACACAAGAGAAATTTTACTCTCTCCAGTGTCTGTTCCCCCACTCTTAATTCTGCTTCAATAGGGAACTTTAAAGCAGATTAAGGGAGTGGATTGTTATTCGATTAGAAAACCATTCACCAGGATTCCTAAGCTGATCCTCTGTGAGGCCCAGGAATCAATTAGTTATAGCTTCACTCTTCTTGGGGCATTGAGTCAGTGTCTTACTCTTCTTTTGGGTAGTCATAGAGTTCCATAGCTAAACAGTATCATGACATGAGAAGACAGCTAGTTTCAAATCCATGCCCCCAGGCAAGTAAAACCCTGTTGTACTAAGACTAGGAAATTCCCATTTCTCAAAATAAATATATGGGCTGGGGATTTAGCTCAGTGGCAAAGCGCCTGCCTGGCAAGCGCAAGGTCGTGAGTTCGGTTCCTGGTACTGGAGAAAAACCAAAAAAAAAAAAAACACTCACACACAAAAAACCAAAATAAATATACAAGGATAGACCATGTATTGTACGGCCTTTATTGGCATTCTAGCATTAGAACCAGCTTTTTAGTGTATTAATAAAGTATGTGTTTTTATGAGAGCTTTTTTGCACAGAGGCAAAAAGAAAGAAATTAAGCAATAAGAATGGACACACTGGTGTTAGCAGGACAGAGCCTTTGCTAGTGGCATGGTCATTTCAGACACTTGCCCAAGACTCCAGAGATGTGCTTGCCATACCTGAGCTTGAAGAGATATTCTTCTGTCAGCCGAATTTGTCTTCTGAAATGGGTAATCACAGTCACACTAAAAGCTCTCTCATCTTCACGGTCTCCAAAAGCATCTGTGATTGAGGGGTAAGGAGACAGAATGCTAAAGCCAACCTGATCGTCTCTTTAGGACTATTTATTGGCACCTTTCATCTTCTGGCTTCTTCACAGGCAAGCCTGGATCACTTAGCTTTATGGACAGAAGACTCCCACATGCACCAGTGGCCACCACGGCGCCCTTCGTTTGCTCAAGCTTTGTTTTATGAGCAACCTATTGCCCGAGCAGATAGCCAGCACTGAGGAACCAAAGAGCCCCTTAGCTTCCTGACTTGCAAAGGAATGTCCTCGGTGTTCTGTGAGCAGTTATGTTGACAGACCTGCCCCACATCCCTTTAAAGTCAGCGCAGTCCCCTCACACACCCTGTGCTGGTGTTTTAAAAATGTATCTTATCGCACTCAGAATGCGTTTGGCAGCCACGCTGATCTGCTGAGTGCTGAACCACTTCTCTGCAATTTAACATCAAAATGACAACAGTACAGTGCTGTGAAATGTGCGCAATTCTATAGCATACCTGAGACAAGCATCCAAGAAGTCATAATTAGCTTTCTTCCTTTTGCTGCCCACAGTAATTGTCTAACTAAAGAACTTTCCACAGCAGAGAGGCCACATGGAGAATCCAGATGTCATCCAGAGCCCAACCCTGTTGATTGGAGAAAAAGGATCAGATGTAACACTGAACCAGAGAAAAAGAGAAAGGCAAACCATACTGAAGAATTTGGAATGTCTTCAAAGGGATAAAGTATTGTTCTTAGGAGGAAGGAAAACTATCAGAAATATTTCACACAACTAACATTTTTACAAAAGTTTAGCAGGACATTACACCATGAAAACATCTTTTAAGCTGGATTGTTTTAGAAAGCAAAGGCCAGGCATAGTCCTGGATACGTAAAGGGTAGCACTTGAGTTAGTTGTTGTGTCAAAATCTGCATTAGTGTAGTCAAAAGGAGACTGTTGATAGCCAAAATGTCTGTGTTACTTGGAGCAACTCCAGACTGGCTAGGACAGTCTGCCATTCTGTGTCAGTCATTTCTACAGTCATCCAAATGGACACCTACAAGCAGCTTTCTTGGGTATTTAAATGCCAGGATCAGCCTTGGATCTGAAAAGAGACATCATTATTCTAAAATATATGTGTATGTGTTGTGTGTGTGTGCGTGCACATGTCTACATATGTAAAGATACAGACTCACATAGAGACCCACTCTCAGTTACTGAGCATTTATAGCCTCGAAGATTTGGAGACTGAAAATATACAAAAAAAAAAAAAAAAAAAAAGGCTGTTGATTGCCTACTGGAAGATCGAAGATGTAAATTAAGTGCCATTTTAAAACTGTGTTCATATTTATCAAATAGATATTATCTGCAGCTATAGTCCTTATTAACTTATTAAAAGTCTTGTTGAAAAAAAAAGATCAATCCCATAAATGCTTAGTAGCTAATGCTAGGCCTAGTGTTCAAAAGCACTCTAAAAACCATTTTGTCCGTATGGTGGGAAAGAAGCTATTTGCATGTTTAATTTATAATTTAGGCTACCTTTGATTATACTGTAAAGTGCTGTGTGATATAATATCAATAAAGTACTTATAAAATGGCACTTTAAGGTTTTCTTTTTAAAAAATACCATCAATAATGCACTGTTTTAAAACTTCAGTATTGAATATTGACTGGTGCATAGAATCAAGTTCCATAATTAAAACAAGGAATCCATGACTAGAATAGAATTTTTCTCCCTGTTATTAGAGAAACAGTTTGCCATGTTCAGGCTTTTCTAAAAAACGTGTTTTGCATCACTGTATACCTATAAAGAAAACACACTTTCTGCTGAACGGCCTCTGAAACTTAGCTTTCTTACATTTGGTTGGTTTATGTGACAATTCCTATGAAGTGAGTGGAAGTATGATTTTTGAATTAAATGACTTTTCCATTTGGTGGTATGTTTGTTTCTTGAGTTTCTGATACATTTTGACGTGAAAAATATTTTAATATTTCTTCAAATAAGCACATATAGGCTGTGATCAAAGATCTCCTGCCCTTGTTGGTGACAGGGCTGACTTTCTGATGAACTCTGAGGAGCTTTGTGTTCCAGTGAGGTTTTTCTTTTTACAGCGCTGGGGATTGAAACCAGGGCTTCTTGCCTTTTACAGCTGAACGAGATCCTGGCCTTGTTTTCCAGTTAGGAAGTGGTCAAATGCTCTTACACTTGAGGATATATTGCACAATTACTGTAAGCCTCAAAGAGTCATGTCCAATGTAACATTTCTGACTTTATCTCCTAGAACACATATTGTTTTATTCTTCCTAAATTCAGTTTTCTGATCAGTTACTCTTTCATTGAACTTCATGACCAGGGCATGGCATAATCAAAGGAGCCAGAACACAAGCAGTCCTGCTGTACATCTGGTGCAAGTGGTTGTTTAGAACTTGGAACGTGTTGCCTGAGGCCAAGCCACACGCCTGAGTTTTCTTACCCATCGTACCCCTTGCAGGAACATCCAGAGCTGCAGCCTGGGACCCAGGTTTATGATAAGCTCCAAGTTCAGGGGCCTCACTGACCCCTGTGAAGGAGAGAAGTGGTGAACCAGGGCTCTGGAGCCGAGGGTGAGGCTTTGTGACCTCAGACCTAAGGAGGTGGTGGTTAGAATCTGTGGCTCACCCGAGAGATGCCACCGTTGTTCTCATTTGTCATTTAAGGCACTGGTTTACCCGCTGTGGACAGCAGACTTCTAGTACCTGCTCCCTTATCCAGCCTGCAGTTTCTCTGGAAAGCACTGTGACGCGGGTAACCAGAGCTTCCTGTGCGGGTAGCAGCAGTCAGTCCCTGGGTGAAGCGTCCCAAGTATGGCAGACGTGTATCCGATGCC